CCTAAGTTTATGCCTGGGCAAGCCGTTTTTCACTTGATTTATGCCACTTAAGTGCTTCACGCTTTGAACACAATGTACCTTGCTCCCCTCTTCTGCCACAGCACAGTCTAGATCTGAATCAGGAGAGAGCATAGCTATTTATTTTTTTGTAAAGCGAAACAACAAGGAAGGGAAGTCAGATGCTGATTAAAGTTGCATCTGGTTTAGCAAAAAAATAAGCTTCCAAGAGACAGGCATTGCATTTATAGGCAACTTCCCATTTACGCACATTTGAGGCATGCACCACCGCACATGTGCTCATTGACACGAATCGAATAGTGCCATGAAAGGGGCAAAAACAGCCCCCCCAAAAAATGTGAAATTAGCAAAAATGGCACAAAAATAGTGTCTAGCAATCCCACAGGCCTTTGCAAGTGCAATCCCAGGAGCTTTTGCACTGACCTTTGAGGCCTGTGGACAGCTGGAGTTTGAGCAAGGAGGTTTGGAGGGAGCGATTGTGGTGGAATTTGGTGGGGGGGTTGTTGTTTGTTTTTAAGGGTTTTTCAAGGGTTTCCAGAGGTTTAGAGGGTGCTTGCAGGCATTTTCAAAGGTGTTCCCAAGATACACAGTTTCATTTAAATGCTCGGTGCCTTGGAACATAACCCCCAAATAAATGGGAAGTTGCCTGTAAACTGCTGAGGAGGAGAATGAATGTCTGTGGGAGAATGAAGAAAGCTATCTATCACACAAGGAGGCACGCAGTTAAAATTCCAGTAAAGAATTCTGCCATGGTGTAGGACGCATATATAACCTGATATACATAATCAGATGAACTGGCTGGGGCTGATGGGAGTTGTAGTCCAAAATACGTGAAGGGCACCAGGTTGTCAAAGACTGTTAGAGAGTGAAGTTCTAGATGAGGTGTTGCCATTTGTGTGAAACTGGAGATTATGTATATTTCCCACAAATGACTCTACCTAATATAGAACAGATAGCCTTCACCACCCTGGTGCCTTCTGTGGGAATGCTCAGGGATGCAGGAGAGGATATACTGTGAGATTATATCCTAATCCAACTTGTGCTAACAAGTTCCCAAAATATCAGCAGAGTTTATAGACATTCCCCTTTAAGTTCGCAACGGTAACATATGCACAGGTTCGCTAGAACCTCTATAATAATTACTCTGGTAATTTCCCCTTTTGTTCCCTCCTAAAATACAAGACACGACACAGTCTTTATAAAAGTATAAAAGAGTTTACTCACGTTCTGTTCACAATATGATCCCAGAAGGCAGACAGGCTTAAAAAGGTAAAATACATTTAGAATCTATCTTATAGGAAGATAGTCCTTTCCTCCACTCTTGACTAAGAGCCAAGAGGGCATCTCAGCAGATGTTGCTGCTTCCAAAGATGAAGATGAGAGAGAGAGATGGCTGCCTGCCCTGTGCTTTTATCATTACCTGCATAGGTGAGGCCACACCCACCTCTGATCACATGCGGAGGAAGTCTGTCCCAGGAAGTTTACCTGCTTGCTGGACAGACATCCCTCCCCATGTCTTAACATGTACACTCTAGGAATGTTGTTATTGACTGCTCCTGTGTTTTACACCCACCTTCAACATGCTTTGGAATACCACTCCCATCAGCCCCAGCCAGCTGGAGGATGGTGAAGGCTGAAGTATAAATACTGCAGAAATGTCCATTGTTTCTGCGCTGGATGTCATCTATAAAGCTCTGGAAAGCTTCACAGATCTGACATAAACACTTAGCGGGATGCCTAAGTATTTATCATGTTCTTTAAATTTTTATATTCCAGCCTTAAGGAGCAAACCAGTGAGGAGCCTTGGTTAGGCTACATCACACTTTCCAATTAATATGGATCAGGTATGTGAAAGGTGAGCCACTTGGGATGCAACAATCCCTGAATAGCCCCAGGAAATCTAGAATATGCCAGAGGGGAAAGATACCTATATACGGATGACCTAAGGAAACCTGTAGAGATGTCTTACTGAGAAATAGGTATGTACATTTCTTTTGGATTATAATATCTGAGTGTATAAATGCACTTAAATCATGTGTTGACTCTTTCCTGTGCATCTATAAAGACCTTGTTCTTTTTGACAAGCTCACCACAAATTTGGGTTCTCTTGATGGCTCCTCTGCCAGGCAGTTTCCTGGACAGGGAAAGCTGAGTCCAGCTATTTAAAGCTTAACTTTCCGTTTAACGTTCCAAGCATTGATTAATTCTCACTTTCATTAGACCCTGTAATTTAAGGAGATCTGCCCCATCCCAAATTAATAACATCATCATGGCTGACACAGATCAGTGATGTACAGTGGTACCTCAGGTTACAGACACTTCAGGTTACATACACTTCAGGTTACAGACTCCGCTAACCCAGAAATAGTGCTTCAGGTTAAGAACTTTGCTTCAGGATGAGAACAGAAATCGTGCTCCGGTGGCGCAGCAGCAGGAGGCCCCATTAGCTAAAGTGGTACCTCAGGTTAAGAACAGTTTCAGGTTAATTACGGACCTCCCGAACGAATTAAGTACTTAACCCGAGGTACCACTGTACAGAGGCAGAGCTGTCCCTCTTGGTGTACCATATTTTTCGCTCTATGAGACGCACTAGACCATAAGACCTCTTGCTGTTCTGGCTTCTGGGATAGCTGCGCAGCCTGCATTCGCTCCATAAGACGCACACACATTTCCCATTACTTTTTAGGAGGGGAAAAGTGAGTCTTACAGAGCAAAAAATACAGTAAGTTGAAGGCTGGAAATCCTGTCTCTGCATTTTTGGTCAGTGTTTTTCCTCTTTCATTGCAGCATGTCATAATCCAGCGATTAGGACATGATGAAATTCAGCAGCCATCAGACAAAATGATTCCGTGGGTAGCAGATCCTTTGGGGAGAACTGATTTTGGCTGATAAATATAAAGAGCTCCAGCTCAGTCTCTGGGCAAAATGAGATTGATAAATGAAACGTCTGTAGTGCACAGTGCTCACTTCCTGTCAGAGAAACACCACACTCCCCATTGCTTGTATTGTGATATGTCTGACTATGTTTAGCAGCGTTTGCCAGCAGGCTGCCTATCAGAAGGACCAAATCTGCCATTTAACACATTGGGTGTTCTGTCAGCACAAAATGCTGAAGCCGTTAATTGGCCTAGCCCAGACTGCTAATGTTCAAATCAAACATAAATCTAAGTAACTTAAATGAATTCAGACTGTCATGTCTACTAGACTTGCAAAAAAACAGTGGTTATTTTTTAAAAAATAAAAAGGAGTTCAAATGACTCCAAACTAAACCACCACAAGTATAACCCTCTTCTTAGAGTTTTTTCCATGATGTGTATTTACCATATATTGAGATTCATTTCTAAAACATATTAAACTGATAACAGATTTCATTATGATATCATTATGAAGTACACTGATGAACCAGATAAACCAAATTTTGCTCACATTTTGAAAATACTGCATTTTTACAAAAATTAGCAAAAGATGACCAGCTAATGATAATAGGATCCCACTTTTGTCTTATATAATTTGTTGATTTGGAAGTCCTATTCTTTTTTAACCAATCTTTCATTTGGGAGATGACACTTTCTCCAATAGCATTGTTATTTTAAACCCTTTTGGGATTTGCAGACAGTGTGTATATGAATGTATGTCAAGGGTCCCTCACCACCACCACTCTGTTGTTTTTGGATGCAGAATCAGTTCAACAGGGTAAAACTAAGCAAAACAGAGCACCACATAACTTAATGAGCCTTTAAGATATATTCACATATACATACTACACCACATAATTTAGAATGCTGTACTAATTATCCATCCTGTTCAAGTCTTCTGGGGACAATCTACCCATTATCTAAGAGAAGGGAAACATTTCAATGAAAAGTTTCTACATCTAAGCTGACACAAATGATCTGGCCTGGCACTGATCATGATCACCAATAAATTATTTCAGTGGTTGGAAGGAACTCTTTAGTCGTTGGTGAAGCTATAACAAATAGACAGACAATGTGGCACCATTTGTATAAAGGGCAGAAGTTAGGTCTGCATTCATAGCTATAGTGATAAAACTCCCACAATCCTTTATAGTATCTTTCCCCTCCTGCTACAAAAATGTGTGTGTAGCTAATGCTAATTGAATCTTGGTGAATGCAAGCTAATTGAGAAGAATGAGCTTTTAACTATATTTGGACAGTACTTTTTTGAGTTATTATTTGCATTTACTATTTATTAAGTTTGCATACCACCCTTCACTCAAAGATCACAGGGCACTTCACAGAATAAAAATGCAAAATGACAACACAAAATGCACAATAAAACAAAAATAAACTAATAACCTCACTCCTACAAACACATTTAAAGGGCCATAGAATGTTTAATCAGCCCAAGGCCTGGTAACAGAGAAACATTTTTGCCTGGCACCTAAAGATATGTAATGAAGGTACTAGGCAAGCCTCCCTGGGCAAGCATTCCACAAATGGGGAGCCACCACAGAAAAGGCCCAGCCTGGTGTTACCACCCTCCAGGCCTCTTGTGCAGAGGGCACACAAAGGACCTCAGATTATGAGAGCTGGATTCAGGTTGGTTCATATGGGGAGAGGCAGTCCTTGAGTTAAAGAGCAATGCATCTTTACTTGTGTAAAGTTCCTTCCCACTTAGAAGTCTTCTTTTGATCAGGAAGCCTGCGTTATCTTCCTGATCCCAAGGAGGCTGAATGGATTTAGAAATCCCCTTCAGATCTTCCTTCTTAATGCAAAAGACTTTGCTTCAGACAGCCACTCTTCCACTCACAGAGAATGATGGGCCCTTCTTAAAGCTTGCTTGCATGAGCAGCACCAAGTCCACAATAAGCTGCTGTGTAGAAGTGTCCACAGACATGGCCACGGTGCATATAATATGCAGAATAATGATAGTGAATTGTGTTCTTAAGCCTCTAATAATATTTCATTAAACTTCCTTTTTCTGAGGTCGTGCCCAGAATGCTATAGTGTAGTGCTGAAGAAGGGCCATAGCTCAGTGGTACAGAATCTGCCTTGCATTCAAAAGGTTGCGGGTTCAATTCCCAGCATCTCCAGACTCCCACCTAAAACCCTGGACAGCTGTAGCCAATCAGGGTAGACAATACTGAGCTAGATGGATCAATGGTATGACTCAGTATAAGGCCACTTCCTATGCTCATCCTAAAATTTACCTTACATTTCTTAGATTAATAGGGAAAGAGAACACCACATTTCAGAGATTATCTAAGACTACAAATGACCAGAAAATTATACCAACAAATGGAACACTGAAGAGTACATCTTCAAAGCATGCAGGGTCAACTAAATACATTTTGCTGTCTGAGGCAGAGCAACAAGTTATGCCCTGTCCCTTTTCCAAGTCAAGGGTGCATAAAACCTAAGGCTAGCCAAGATTTTTTGCACCAAAGGCAGAAAATTCCACAAGTGTCTGTCCCCATTTCCTGGCAGTATCAATATAATAACAACAAATTAAACCATTAGCAATTTTTTGCCCTTCCCTGATGCCCCAAATCTGTTGTCTGAGGCCACTGTTTCACTCTGTCTCATGGCAGGGCTGGCCCCGAAAAAGCGCAGTCTTAGCTTGTTAGGGAAATCTGGGTACATTTTTTCAGAAAGCGTCCATTCACAATTTCTTTTGTTATTATTACTGTTTTCATTTAAACTGCAGTGGATTCATTTCCACAGTGTGATGATTGCAGAAGACAAATAAAAGTGGAACTGTAAGCAGGTTAAGTTACTGGCTTCAGAATCCTGAAATAGCAAGCAAGTTTACTGCAAAAGAGACATCACCGCCTCATTTAAAAGGAAAAGAAGAAGAAGAAAACCCAGATGGCTCCCTGTCCCATATTTAAAGTTTTGAAAGAGCTTGGCAGATGCTTCCTGAGGCTGTAGATTCCTTATTTGGAAATAAAATGGTTCACAGAAAGCAAAGGGGGGGAGGGGGAGGGAACATCTTCTGAGAAGACTCAGACCTTGATAAGTTTGAGTTGTCCAGTGTCCTAGCTAGAGGGGAACATGGTGATATGAGAGCTGATGCTGCAGTCAAGAAGTCAGAAGTTATTGAATGTTTGGTCCTGGGTGTTTGCTTCTTATGAAGTTAAGAGGACTCGCCATTTTATAAGTGCCTGCAGCTCCCCAGTCACATTTACTGGGACTGCATGGAGCAGGTGAAAATCGTAACGGGAGCAATTTTTCATAGTTTTCTCAGCAACAAACTATTAAACAATGACCCTGTATTTTGTTCTTTCAAGGTAGTTTTTAGTTCTACAAAAATGGGGACTTGCAAGTTAAGTCATGGCAGCCAGGGAAGGTACGATCTGCGTAGGAGTGCTGGTAAGGAAGAGCAGTAAGCCACACAAACGCAGCTCAAGCTGCTAAACATGCTCATTCACTGAGATAATTCGTGAAGATTCCATAGCTGGTGAATCATCCAGAAGACTTACTGCTGGCTTTCTGCGACTTTGGGGGTGTTTTTAAAATATAGGGCAAATACCAATTCTCAATAGCCTTATAATAAGCATAACACATGCAACATTGCATCATAATTAACTTACTAATTTGCCTAGACCCACACAGATAATAGTGGCACAAAAGCTACATATTTAGAATTGTGTCCAGTTAGATTTGGAGGTGCCCAAGGACCCTCTCTTCACATCCAGTTAGATGTTATGATAGGCATCCTTATAGGATGGCTGTGACTCCTATTTTGGCAATAAAAGGGTTTTGTAATGTTTACACATTAATCAAGGTACCACCTGCTCATCCAAGTGGTTGCCCATTCAAACAAACACACTAGCCCTATTCAGACGACAGTTAGGTAAAACCAATGGGGAAAAGTGGCAAATGTGTCTTACAATTTGTATGCATGTAAGACTCTTTACAGGGATGCAGGTGGCGCTGTGGGTTAAACCACAGAGCAAAGTGCAAGTAGATAAATAGGTACCATTCTGGCGGGAAGGTAAACAGCGTTTCCGTGCCCTGCTCTGGTTCGCCAGAAGTGGCTTAGTCATGCTGGCCACATGACCCAGAAGCTGTATGTCGGCTCCCTCTGCCAATAAAGCGAGATGAGCGCCACATCCTCAGAGTCAGTCACGATTGGACCTAATGGTCAGGGGTCCCTTTACCTTTACCTTTAAGACTCTTTACAGACTGGGGACCAATACCTGAAGACAGGGGGACTGGAGCCAGTGGTGTAATCCCATATCCTTCCCCATACAGTGGTACATCGGGTTACAGACGCTTCAGGTTACAGACTCCGCTAATCCAGAAATAGTACCTTGGGTTAAGAACTTTGCTTCAGGGTGAGAACAGAAATCGTGTGGCGGCGGCGCAGCAGCAGCGGGAGGCCCCATTAGCTAAAGTGGTGCTTCAGGTTAAGAACAGTTTCAGGTTAAGAACGGACCTCCAGAATGAATTAAGTTCTTAACCAGAGGTACCACTGTGCCCATCTTGCTTTTATCTGAACTGCTGTCTAAAATAAGACTAATAAGCAACCAGAAGGTTCATGAACTTTGCTCAGTGTTTTTCATTAGACACTTTTGTTATACAGTAGTGTGATTTAGTGGAAGTAAAGACCAGTGACGAAGCCAACATCATTACTAAACTAGACTGGCAGTTAAATCATACCCCAACACTGGTTGACAGGCCAGCTTCCTCCACTGTATCTGAGGGCAACAGGTTAATCTAGGGGGCACAGGGCAGGCCATACTGCAGATATAGTCCTGTTCTCCAACACCAGACTGCCATTCCTCAACACTCCAACATCTGCCACCCGAGGCAGCTGTCTCACTCTACCCAGTGGTAGGGCCAGCCCTGTTGAAATTTGAGTAAGGGCAAATCTAGAACCCCGGTAGTTGTTCATTGAGTTATTCTAAATAAACAATCTTTTGTGATGAGGCTATACAATATTTCCTAGGATTGGGTGATTAAACCAAACAGGCGTTAATCCAAAATACTATGAAAGAATGCAATAAAAACAAACTAATTGCATCATGTGTTGCTCGTTGTTGTTTGTGATCTCAAATGGTGTCTAAAAAAGGACAGCCTCTCTCCCATTCTGCCCAGGGTTATTCTGGGTTATTATTAATCACTGCATAGGATAAAATAGCAACTATAAAAGCAAAATAAATCACAAAAGACAAGTGCAAGGAGTCCACACAAGAAGATATGAGGCTCCAGTCCTCTCAAACTGCGGAGTTGTAATTAAATCCCTAGATACACCGAAAAGAGTAAGAAATGTGGACTTTAATTGCAGAGGCTTTTAAAGCAGAGTTTTTACTTTTAGAAAGTCACAGCATGGTACAGCTGAAGATTGTAATAGAAAGAAAGATGAAAGGTAGAGGAGTTTCAGTTTTATAACTTCTGCTTTATAAGATGCTGTGCATTAACTGTCAGCCTCCACAATTGTGCCTTTTTTTGTTCTGTTTTTCTTTTTGGATTAGGGTTTTTTTTAAAAGAAAGATGGACATACCACAGTTATGCTAATCATGAGTGGAAAATATGCAGTGAAATGACAGGATAGGGTTAATTTCATTTCTTTATTACATTTCAGACCCTGCCCCATGTTATCATCACCACAACCTGAGGTAGGTTAGGCTGAGAAATGGCACCTGACCTACAGTCACCCAGAGAGCATCATCATCATTATTAATTAAATTTATATACCACTTTTCATCTGTAGATCTCTGGGTGGTTCACAACATAAAAATGCAAGATAAAAACACTACCTCAACTTATAATCCATTGGCCCAACTTTTGCAACAAGAAATGGATGGAACGGAATCTGAAATCAGGACTACCTGTGCTTTGTTGTTTGTAACAGATTCAGTTATAAAAAGGGAAAGTCTCCTCTTCGCAAATTAACACCACACAGAGCAGCTAACACAAGTTGTAAACTGTCCTACTTAAGTGGTCACAATGAAATATGTATATCAGAAGTCTGCATGTTAGAAACATAAAGGGGAGGGGAGCAATGACTAAATCATTGAAGGAGTTAAGTATTTCAGCACTTTGCAGGAAAACGAACACCAATAAGGAACCCAGATCAAAATGTGCTGCCTGTTTGCTAAAAGTATTGTGTAAAGAAAAGTCTCCCAAAATATAAGAGAACCATACAAACATGGATCTCCAGTTCCACCAGGCATGACATCAGTTTCTTCCCGAAAACAACAGAATCCTTTCCATATTCTCATTGAAACAATATGCCAGCATAAAGGGGCCTCTTCTCACCAAAGCCATCGCTTGGAGCAAAATGCTAATTAAAAGCAAGCCTACCTTTCTTCTCCATCTGCCCAGCTTTGCTCTTGAAACAAACCACTTATATTTACTTGTTGTGTAAAGTGTTTTGTTTATACTGTTCAGTGCGGTTGTGTGGTGCTTTTTATCCTCTTTCTTTTACTTTGAAAGCTTAGGTAATGTTTTGGGGAAATATGTATCAAAATGGTTAAGACGCAAGTCCAAATGCCAAAAAGAAAAATATTTAGCTGCATATGAAAACCAGAAAGTTATGTTTTTCATCTCTTCCAGAGAGAGGAAAAAAAGAAGTCTGGCTTCACTCACTGACAGTAAGTGGGTGCAAATCCCAAAAAAAGTCAGACTCGCTTGAAATCCTACTAAGCAGAAATCTGACATTGAGAAAGTCGTATGTGGTTTCAAATATGAAATGGAAATTCACCTAACTTTCTATCCACAGGGGGCCCACAGCCCTGATCCAAAAGTTTCTTGGGTTCCATATTCCATATGGCCTCCAGAGTCCCACATCAATAGAAACTGCTTCATTTATTTAGGCAACATCCACACCATACATTTAAAGTTCTCTTATACCATTTTAAGCAGTCATGGCTTGCCCCCAAAGAATCCTGCAGTTTTAAGGATGCTGAAGAATGACTAGGAGACCCCTCACAATTCCCAGCACTTTTGGCCGACAATAGTTCCTAGGATTCCTTGTGGCAAGCCATGACTGTTATGAGTGCTTTAAATGTAGTGTCAATGAATACTCTCCATGCCTAACCCCATTGTGTAAGATGAGCATTTCTCACCTGTGTGGTTCAGGAGG